AATTATGCATACAAATTGTAAAATGTTTCACAAAAAAAAATGCAAAACCAAAACATACAACTTAAGCAAACAAAACCAAATAAAAAACCAAATGCAAAACAAAGAAAAAAACAACAAACAAAAACTAAATGGCAAACAAAATAATTTTCATTGTATAATCATATAATTTATTTTGAATTTTTGTGTTCTTTTTCGAAATATTTTGCATAAATAAAATAAAATAACAGAAAAACTAATTTTGCTAGTGCGTTATTCATTCTTGCTCCCACTCTCTCTCCATCTCTTTCTCTCTCTGTCTCTCTCTCTCTCTTTCTCAAGAGCTTCAACCATTTGAAGCCCCCCTACCTTATGTTGATAGCCGACATAATGCCTTTTGGTCTTTAGATTACAATGATTTATTTAATAAGCCATTTTCAAATTTCCTACCCACTAGGCACCATATATTATATAAAACTTTGATAATTATTGCTCCAGAAAGCGAAATTCGTTTTGAATAAAAACGTGGCAACCATAATTGAAGAGACTTGCGGTAATTCACTCGCTTATTTATTGCAAACTATTTACTTTGATAATGTATATAAGCGCGGTATAACTAAAGCAATACAATAAAGACGCATCGTAAATTAAAATCGCTTTTCAATTGCTTCGGATCAATCGAATATGAATTTACTTCCTCTTGAATGTTTAACTTTGTTTAATTCTTAACCATAAGATGCATTTCCTATGGGATTTATTATTAAGACATCTCCACATCTGGAAGCCAAACAAAAGTTTATCGCTTAATTGCCTGCTTTGAGGTGAACTACATACTATTTAAACCCATTTTTTGGTTCATATATTTTCAAATTGTTATTTCTTATTTATGACTGCCCGTGCTACTGAAAATATTGTTATTCATTAATATTTTCATATGCAATATATGGGCTAAATTCAGTCTCTACCTAAACTGACATCAACCAAATAAAGTTCGATTAATCTAATGCTTTGGGCCGAATTCAAAATTTAGGCTGGGTCAAAAAACTCTCAAAAGTGGTTTGCAAGAAACCTTTTTATAGAAATCATATGGATCAATGCACGTTTTAGTTCAAATATTTCTTTTGGCTGGGTTTAATTCTTAAATATAACAATACATTTTTTCAAATTAATCGAAATGAGGTAATTTCTATTATTTAAAGTACTGAAAATATCTTAAATATATTTGCAATATTTTCAAAAAATTATGATTCAGGTTAAGGTGCAATTGTTCTTTATCCAACTTGTCCGATTTGAGGTAAGACTCAAGGCAAGCTAAACATTGGAGTTTCAGCCTTTGCCATTCCTATAAGTCGGTTTTGATAAATTCCTTTTGAACGCTTTGATCATCGTATAGTATCAGCTTATCTAAAGGAGGCTTGTTATTGTTGGTCAGTTGGTTAGCTTAGTGTTCGCTAACAAATAAATTCGCCACTTTGGCGTAGATAATTGCAACGTTTGGCATTTGAAGTGGCCCTTGGTCCGTGTCCTTCACGCTGGGCACGGGTGCTGGGGGGGGGACCAAAAGAAAATGCTTAGATTGCGTAAGTTATTTCGACAGAGGGAGACAGAAAGCGAGTGTGCAGGCTTGTGAGAGAAAGAGAGAGATACAGATAGAGATGGGGGAAAGGGATCTGTTGGGCCACTTAATATAAGGTGATTTCTATGCCGCAGCGCTTACGTTGATTATGATGTGTGCTCATTATGAGTTTCAACTTGGAGTGCACGAACAAGCCTTTACAATAAATCACTTGAAACTGTATGGAGTATACGTGAAATCAATGTAAAGCACTTCAGTCTATCAAGTGTCCAAAGCATGAAAATTGACGTACATTTTGATATATGAGCCAAAACGACAGACGGCGGCAAACGCAGCAACCATTGGGAGGTTGGGTAGTTGGGTGGTTGTGTGGTTGGGTGGTTCTCCGCCTGCCTGATGGCCCACCTACTCGAGCTAAACACACAAATGATCGATGTGAAGCAACAATGTGGAGCACGGCATAGACATAGATAAAGATCACGACTCTGAGCTAAAAATGCAGCGTGATAAATACCTAATTTTTATGTACTCGCAAAGGGTATATTCATTTGTTCAACCTGCTGTCTGTTTCTTATCGGGCAATATCTAATATAATAATATAATTCATTTGTATTGCAAATTTCATATTATTAATTAATTATATTTATTTATAATTGTATTTAAAGTTTTCCTCAATTTATACTACGCAAAATAGCATTCGAAGACCCTTTTTATTCAATTCAAATATCCAAATCGATTCCATTTTGACTGTTTGCGTAAATACGAGTTTATGTATTCTTATATATATTATATTATATTCTATTATATATTAATTACTTATACTCAACAATTTATTATATGATATAGATTAATTGGTAGGACATTTTGGTCTGGTACCAGGGTATTTGCTATTCGAGCAGTTGGGCTTCTGTTGTTGTTGGCCCGATAGCTGCGTTGTTGGTCGACAAACTTTCCAAAGTGCATTTCGTATTCCAAGTGGCCACCGTCGTCTACACGACAACTAACAAATAATGCACTTACAGAATGTGCACACAATGTACTAACAGAGATTGAAACCGAAACAGATACAGATATAGATACAGATACTGTTCTACAGATAGCAGATAGTACTTGTTCTGGCAGAGAAACTTTGAAATGCACTTGAAGTTCTTGAAGAAATTATTGAAAACTGGCTGAGCTGATAAGTCTGGCCAAGAACAGCCTACAGGCCAACTTTTGCGTATGGAAATCTAAACATAAATTCGAGCTTTAAGTTGAGCTACATAAAAAGGAATTAGCCCACTCGTGTCGAGTTCACCAGAGGTTATTCGTATGTACTGCTGCATCTGCATGAGTAGACGAGAAGGCGCGAACACGCTATTAGAATAGGCTGGCCAGTAGCTGCCACCGGCCGAGGGCGTAAGACGGGGCCAGCCATAGGCAATTGTTGGGCGATAAGTGGCATATTGAATTGGCATCAGATAAGCGGCCAAACAAAAGCCAAACCGCAGCAGTTGCAGCGAAAAAGGGACAACAACAGTACGGCCTCTTTAGCATGGTAGTTGCCTGCTTTTGGGGGCCGAACGTTCACAACCCACCACATACCATATATGCATACCCATACGATATATATATATACATATATATATATATGTGTGTATGTATATCGACAGATATCTGTAGCTATGTTTGTCGGGGCGATAACAACCAAAGATTGTGTTTGTATTGCTGCAGCACTAACTGAATATCAAAACAGGGCTACCGGTCGGGCACGATAAGCTGCAGCGCACAAGGCCCAACTGCAGCCCAGAAAGACAGCTAGCAGTGGTTGAGCTCAATAGAGCTAAATCATAATCAACGCATGATCGAAGCATATATCAAAATACTTTTAATACATATGATAAGACAGCAACAGCAACAACAACAACAACAACAACATTAGCGGCGGCAACAACAACAGGTAAACAATTACGACTACCTCATGGCTAAGTATGTAGCCTGTATGTGCTTTACTGCTGACAGTCCGCGCCTCGTATGTAGGTTGTTTCAGCTTGTATGGAGCACTATCACAGCGACCGTATCGCAACTGATATCGCGACGAGTTGTGTACAAATAAAGTTGTTGTAAGCGACACTGTCGTAGAGCAGTAACAGCAGCAGCAACAGCAGCAGCAGCAGCAGTAAGCGGCTGCCCGCGCAACCCTAGAGCAGTGGCAGTTGCAGTACGGCACGGCCACCGGCTATGCTGGGCAGCCGGAATGCCATACGGGAGTTATACGAGCATTTACCACAGCTCGGGCATCGGGAGTTATTGTTTGTCAATAAACATATGCGCCACATAATCGTCATCATAATAATACTGTTTGGCATTATTTTATTGCATTCCACTCGCCTCTGGAATATCAGACTGGGGCAGCAAGCGGGGGTACAGTGGTATGTGGGCATGTGGCAATTTAAATGCACTATGAACATATTTTAGGTATATTTACGCACAAGTATAAGATATATCTATATTATATTCCTTTTCTGCTTTAACTATATGGGAACCCTAAAACAAATTAGGTGAGGCCAATGATGCCTTGGGACAATAATGACTCATATTTATGAATTCTTGGGGTTTATTTCAGCTTTAGTAGTTATATTATTATATTAATACGAATTATGCTAGAACGTCGCAATATACTAGTAGTTGGGTAGATCGAAAGAGCAGGTTTATATGGCATAAGTGTCCGAGGGTCTTCCTGACAGACGGGTGGTTACGGGTTCGAGACGTGTAGCATCTTATACAACACTTTTTTTTAGTATTTAATTCAATGCAAATGTATAATATTATATGACTCATATAAAATTTAAGAATATTTTAATATTTTGCTATTGATTTAGACTATTTAATTAGCTATTAATAATGCATTTTATTTTGTGTATTTTTTGACATTTTGATACCACTGTGCACGCAGCGGCAGACCACCAAATCGTTATTGGAAAAAAAGGGTACAAGAACAAATACAAGCAAAAACCCCGATTTAGAATCAACAGCCAACGTTGCCTGTTGCGAGTATCTTTGCCTGTTGCCCGTGTGTCTGTGTCTGTATCTGTGACTATATCTGTGGCAGGGGCTCCACATATTCATAAGCCTGAGTATATTCGTATTCGTATTCATATATTCATGCCAGCGATATCTGAGTGCACACACACACACACAGGCGCACGCATACAGTGATACATTATCGATATACGCCCGTTCGTCGATGTTCTTGTGTACTTTATTTATATTTGTTAAACTCGGTTTTTTTCTACCTTTTTGTTTAATACCTATTTGACTTTAATAAGTGATTGTTGTAGCATTTAAAGTGTCGAACGTTGCGCCACTTCAGTGCTCACTGTAAGCTCTCCTCTGTGCGTGTGCGTGTGTGTGAGTGTGTTTGTGTGTGTGTGTTTGTGTGTGTGTGTTTGGATCAACGGCAAGTGAGGCACAGGCACAGGCAACGTTCGTTCCTGGCCCCCAGTTAGTCCGTGTCAGTTGATTCCATTTGACGCAGAGTCCAAAAAACGCATCGCCGAGCGATTGCAGAACGTTGCGCTTCCACTGATTTACTCGCTGATCGCTGATCGCACGTCGCAGATCGCCGATCGTCGACTCGTTAAATCGCGTATAGAGCCAGAGAGTGAGAGAGAGAGAGAGAGAGAGAGAGAGAGAGAGAGGGAGAGAGACAGTGAGAGAGAGTGGGAGAGCGCACGCGCATGTGTATTAGACGACCTGCTGCATGTTCTTTTTGTTTTTGCCTAGTTAGTCGCTGTCGTCGCCATATCAGCGAGTGCGTAAGTGGGACCGCGGACTCTCGCCGGATCGCCGAATGGCGTTTTTATGGCTTATTGAAATCGCGACGACAGTCAAAAGCGCGCGCACCGCTCGATACAACAGCAGCACCCGGCAGCACCCAAAGAAAATGTAACGAGCCCCGTCGCTACCGTTAACTGCTAACTGTTAACCGTTAACCGCACTCGTCGCGTCAAGTGGAGCGCGATAAAAGGCCAACAATTGGAATTAGGCCCAAATTGCATGCATTGGCAGTAAAAGCCAGTAAATTGCCATAAATGAATTAGTATTTGAATTGGATTCAATAATAAATCAAAGCGTGGTCGTGACACGGCCAAATCGTGACCAATTAGTTTTTTTGTTTGTTATTCGTTATTATATTTGTACACAAATTAAAAAGCGATCGCGCATTAAAAATCGATCCAGCAACAACGAATCGTGCAAATAATTGCCGCCAGCTTAAAAGTTAATTGTAATCAATGTGCAATTGAGAAACCACCCAACTCCCACCACCCAACGCCCAGTGCCAAGTGCCTAGAAAGAATATATACAACGTACAAATATACAAATATATATTATTAATTTTTTTTTTTCTGTTCTCATTTTGTTGTTGTTGTCAAAACACGCAAACGGCAACAGCGTCAAGAATTTTAATTATGAGCAATTATAATCCGAATTGCGGTTACTTTGAGGATTGCAGCTATTATGCAAATAATGTATATCAACAGGATTATTGCATGCAGCCGGATTATGAATACAACAAACACGTCTACGAGTGAGTACCCAAAACAAATTGGCTCAGCGCCATTTCCATTTCCATTTACCATTTCCATTACACATTTCCCTTTTACCATTCCCTTTGCCAAACGTCATGTAATGAATGGATAATAGCAACAATCTCAACTGCGTCTTACGACACGATGAGGGTCAATAAGTCGCAGCCAATGCAAAATGCCGACGGCAATAGCCTTTTGGCCCAATCGACTCGGCCATAATAAATTCGTTTGTAGTAATAAATAGCACGCCTCATGACAATACTAACTATAACAGCTCATGTGTTTACTTTCTAAATGTGTTAAATTCTCATTTATTTACAATTATACCAGGGCATATACCATGCTGATAGCAGTGAGTTTTTTAGCAGACACATTTTGTCGAAAATGGTTTTTTTTTTTCAACTGTCCCTCATGCTATGACAGCCATATGATTTATATGAATACAAGTTTTCGATTAGGCCTAACTAGACTACAAGAAATATCCTCAATAATATTGTGTTTATCGGGATAACTATAAGAAGTTATCAATAGAATGCTTAACTCTTCCATTTACACATATGACCACTATTTCAACTAAGCTAAAGCAATGATCTGTTCAAAAAGTTATAAGCATTTCTTTTATACTTATATATATGCAAGATATATACTGTGGTATATTAAAGATCTTGCCTACATAGTAAAATCAGTTAGACAAGCCCCAAGAATTGTTTAGTGGTTCGGTTCACGATTCGAACCAACACCCTGCTGGGGATTCGATTCGAGAATCCAGTTTTGCATATTCTAACCTTCTGAAACTGTTAATAATTCAATTTTAAATTAACGACTGCCCGTTGTACTGAGAATATTGTAAACGTAAATATTTTCATATGCAGGTTGCGGGCTAAAATTGATCCCTACCCAAAAGGCGCATCGATTATGAGATGTATGCAATATCTGGGCCCAAATGTGTTTCTACTTCTACTACTGGGTCACCATTTGGAGCTTCTCATGTTCAAATTTTAATTGGATTATAGTGAAAAATATCAGGTATATACGCATGTAGTTGTGTATATTTCACCACAATAAGCAGTATACAAGTGCAGTGCTTAGCCCCACACAGAGAAAAGTGTCAAAACATTTCCAAGAAATCGTTGCGGCAATTAAAAACAATTTGATTTTAAATCAGCAAAGAAAACAGAAGCGTAGACAAGGGCCAAAACGAGACCAGACCTGGCCAGATCCGTCCGAAGACCGAAGTTTAAAGGGATCAATTCAGTTTGAGCCGAGGCAAACGTATTAACATTTAATGGCATAACATAATGAAATTGTGCTGATCGCATATCAGCCCGTTTTAAGCCCCTGATTTTCGCACACACATACACACACACACGCACACACAGTGCGTTGCCCTAAGCCAATGTTACGGCATTGTGATGCTGGCAGCGAGCGGAGCACTGAATGTGGCCGGCCAGGACGGCTAGCTAGCTGACTGACTGCCGCTGACTAGAACTGACTGACAGACTGGCTGGCTGGCTGGCTGACTGGCCGAGCATGTGTGATAAGCCGAGGGCAAAAGGTGTCGCTCAGCCAGGGCCAGAGCCAGAGCCAGGCTGTTGCGAGGGACGCACTCTCAACAATGCGCATTATTTCCAGTTTGTCACCTTTTGCATTTTTGGCACGGCAACGGGGCGACGGGGTTTTTCACGGCTGCACTTTGAAAACCAAAACACATGTTTTGTGAAATCGTTTGGAAAATCACATGAAAACGGGATAGAGCGAGTGCGTGTGCGTGTGCGTGTGCGAATGAGACTGTGACTGAGACTGAGAGAATGAGAGTTTCACAAATTTTACTTTAATTGGGTTTGTCCATAATCGTTGCATCGAACCCTCGGCTAATCTCGGATAATACTGTTTGCCAAATAAAAGCAATTCTATTTTTATTTCAATTTTATTTTCATGCTCATTGTTGTTGCTGTTGTTGTTTTTTCGAATCATTTTTCATTGATGTTTTGGCCAAAACTAAACCTGGACAGGAGCTCTCTGGGATTTCCCCTGTCACAGGTTGCATTTCGGTTGTTTTCCTATGTTTTTTTCTTTGCTTGTTTTCTTTGTGTGTGTGTGTGTGTGTGTATCTGCCATGGGGCACAGGTTGTTCGGCAAAATCTTTCGCAATTTGCTGCCATTGTGCGCCTTTAAGTCCAGCATTAATTTTTATTAAGAGAGTCTTGTGCAAAAAGAACTAATTTGTATATTTGTTTATAGTTCTAGCTCATGTTATACCACAAATCCGCAAATTGTTTGGTTTTCTTCAGTTTGTTGCTTGCACAAACAAAACCCAAAAAAAAAGTGAAAAAATCCAAAGATCTCCTCTGCAAAATGCAAATAGTTCTCACAGTGCTTCAAGCCAGCCAGTCAAACAACAGGCCCAACTCTTGTCCAAAGTTGATACAAAAAAAAATTATAAAAATAAATAAATATGAAACCAGTTCGGCCTTATAAGTTGCCCCTTTTCACAGTCTGCGCACTCACTTGTGTTCTGGAGTAGAAAAGGACACGCTATGCACTTGTCTGGCACCCTGAAATATGAAGTTCGAAAACATAATTTTATTTGATGATACAATTTTTATTAATAAAACAAAAAAGTAACGATAGAAGAAAAAAGTAACGTTAAGCGTTACTAAACGCAACTCGGAAACGCAGTCAGTCAAGTTGAACGTACTCCAGAAATCGTAAGCTTCGAATGCCTGGGAATATGAGCACATGTCGTCGTCGTCGTCGTCGTCGTCATCATCAACATCGTCCCCGTCGGATGAGCCAGGAAGTAAACAAAACACACACGAATCGCCAGCCAGCATATTTAAAACGTTGCCCCTGGCAGACTGTCAAGCACTTCGAATACCCTACATTTTATTATATTCGATATGAAGGTTCGATTTACAATTTGTCCGATTAAAGTTTTGGTGGTCTCGTAACCATTCCTTTTGCATTGTTTCTATAGCTGAATGACTTTGTGCATACTGAGTTATATTTTTTCCTATTTTGATTCACCATATTATCATTTATAGCAAAAGAAGCAGCAGAAGTTGGCTACCTTTCGAATTTAAAATACATATAATTGTGTATTCTCAAAAAATATAGAAGGGTCTTTGGTAAAATAGCCAATAATTTCTATTCGATAGTTATTTAATTAAACGAACCAACTAATTTAATATTTATTTAATTAAACTTCTAAAAAATAAAATGAGTTTATTTGGAATCCTTATACTAACTTACACTGAAGAAAAGATAAGAGCTTTTGACTTGAAATCTGAAACTTGTTTCTTTTTATTTATGTTAAGCTATTTATTCTGAAAATAAGCAACATTGTGCATTAAATGTTTTCTTTCACGAGTTTATATAAATTAAGGATTTGAGCTAAAGCTAAATAATAATGGCTGCCGGGGCTTTCAGCATAATATTATATAACTCAATGTTAACTCAATGTAAAAGTTCGACTGCAACCGAAACAAGACACGACACAAAGCAGATAGTTTGAATTGTAGGGTATGCAAGTGTGTTGCATGTTTTGAATGCGTTTAATACGCCCTTTACGCGCGATAATTTGTATTTTTTTTTGGGGCAAATATTAACGTTAAGTCGTACTTCTTTGCTTTATTATTATTTTGGCCAGCAATGCAGGGCTGTCGAGAGTCTGAAAAAAGCGCAATTTAAAGTTAAGACTCACTTTAAAATTAATGTTTTGACTTAAGATGCAAATTGTGTGGTCTTGAGCAAATGGGCACTGATCAAAAAAAGACTCACTCTGCAGCTCATATTGGAGACACTCGACAACCCTGGAGTTTGAGCATTTGGTTTCAGCCAGCTCGTTGTTGCCCAAACTGTCACCCGCGAACTATATTTTGTTATTCGCTTCGTTTTTTTTTTTTTTCTTTTACATATTCTTTTTTTTGTTGGTATCTGCCTGGCTAAAACGACGCTGTCAAAGCGGCCACTTGCCAGCGCAGCCTGTCATTGTTGTTGCTGTCGTTTTCCGCTCCGTCTGCTAAACTTTTGTCTGTGCCACATGTCATGAGAGCGGGGTGTTCACAAAAGAAAAGACACTGTGGCAGCAAGTTTGGCTCAAATGGCGACAGTTTGGGCCAAATCAGAAATTGATACATTTAACAAAATGTTGCCCAGCTTTCGAGTTGACTCGGCGCGACGCGTGACTTTGTGACATTTAATGCCAGTTTGTCAGGCAGTCAGTCAGTCAGCTTGCAGATCGCATGCGCCATGCGAATGTGAAAATAACACAATGAAATTTGCATCTACTGCTAAGCAATACATCGTATCGTAGGTCGCTGTCGAACCCTAGCAAAGGGCGTTCAAGTTTTGTCATGCAATATGTCACGCATTGAAGAATGCTTTACCAAACCCATAAGGTATAATAATTCTTGCTCAGGGCATCGAGCCCATTTCATTTCAATTTCATTTTCATTTAAGTATTTTTAATTTAGCCACCTCAAAGCTAACTCATCTATCTTATTATACGCTAGAGTATCTGCTGGTCGGCCACTCCCGATTAAAAATTCGTATAGTTTTCTTTTTGATGGTTTGATGGGCCTATAATGAAGCATGTGATTGGCTGAAGTGTCACGGGCGCCTCAACATGCAAGTGGGGGAAGCCCGTCCACAAAATAAAATTAACGTACAGCTGAAATCGTTTTTGGGCCTGACTCTAATGTCTCATAAGCCTGCAGTTTGCTGCCTGGCGCAAAAACTTCAGTCCACAAATCAAAGCTGACAAAACGCAACAATTAAACGCACAAAAGATACACAGATACATGCCCAGAGATACAGATACAGATACAATTGCAAGGGTCCAAAAACAATACCACAAAAATGGGCAAGGTGTGTGTAAATCTGTGTGTGTCTCTGTGTCTGTGTCTGTGTGTGTATGTGTGTTTAAAAGGCCGCTGTGCCATTCATGAAAATATTGCAATTGAAATTGTTTGGCATTTGAAATAAATTGCAAATGTGT